TCTAACATTAGCACTCTATGCAATTTCTATTTTATCTACTTTTCCTTTTAAAAAATGGACCCTCTAACATTAGCACTCTATGCAATTTCTATTTTATCTACTTTTCCTTTTAAAAAATGGACCCTCTAACATTAGCACTCTATGCAATTTCTATTTTATCTACTTTTCCTTTTATTAAAAAATGTATCCTCTAACATTAGCACTCTATCCGATTTATTTTCCATCTACTTGTTTTCTTTTCATTCATTAAAAAATTGACCCTCTAACATTAGCGCTCTATTGTATTTCTATTTTATCTACTTTGCCTTTTATTAAAAAAACGACCCTCTAACATTAGCACTCTATTGTATTTCTATTTTATCTACTTTGCCTTTTATTAAAAAAACGACCCTCTAACATTAGCACTCTATTGTATTTCTATTTTATCTACTTTTCCTTTTATAAAAAAAATCACCCTCTAACATTAGCACTCTATTCGATTTCTATTTTATCTACTTTTCCTTTTAAAAAATTGACCCTCTAACATTAGCACTCTATTCGATTTATTTTCCATCTACTTATTTTCTTTTATTTATAAAAACATGAGTGTTCTCCATTATTTTTCTATTCAATCAACTATTTTTATTTATTATAAAAGAACCTTGTCTAACCGGGGTTTACACATTATTGCTCTTTTGCTGGATTGCTTCTATTGTCCTCATTTGTAAGTCGCTTTGGATAAATGCATCTGCTAAATGTAAATGTAAATTTCAGTCTGTTCCTCACACAAAGCTGTTATAAAATATAGCCTAGTCATATGGACTAGACTGTAAAAAAAAAAAATTTTTTCAAAGTTGTATGAAAGAAAGATTATTGGCATACAATTTGCAAGAAAATACTATTTCAGTTAGGGCTGCTCGATTATGGCAAAAATCATAATCACGATTATTTAACACGATTATGAGGGGAACATATGACCAAAACTTTATATGAGTGATTTATTTAAAGATAGTGATGCATATCAAATATACATATTCCTTTAAATAAGGTTGCTATGACATCTACATTGTAGAGACCAGCGGGATTTCAAACATACAAACAAAAAGTCCGAAAACTTATTGAAAATAATTAAACTGTCAGTAATAAAAAGCAAAGGACAAATACAATAGAATAAAAAGATACAAATGAAACAAACTATGCTTTAATGTTTTTTTATGCAAGTCTCAAGCAGTTTACAGCCTACTACAGAAAAGAATAATCAAATGTAAAATAAAACAGCATGGACTTCACTGTAAGAATTAAACTTTTTTGTTTCTTATTAAATCTACAAAAGTCCTTCACTCAAGAGCAGTGTGTGATTTTGAATTTGTCTTTTGTTGTTTGATTAATATGAAGCACACAGTCGCAACAGAAAAATAGCCTGCTGTCACTTTAAGAGCCGCACGGATCCAATTTACCGTTACACGCGTATTTTCATTCTCAACTCTTTACGTTCATTTATTACATGACCGATGAAGGTATACATGAATAATCAGTAATCGCCGCATTTTGACACATTTTTGCATGTATTTGACCGTTTAGGCGCGCACCTTGAGCTAAAAGATGACTTTACAGTTCGTGTTCTGCTCCGTCTCTGAGCGCATATATCTTCCTGAGGAGCAGCGCAAGATCTATTTCACGCTTTTAAAAACATGAATAAATATACTTATATAAATCAAGCACGTCCCATTTTGCAAAAGTCACGTTACATGATTTTACTGATTGCACGTGAAATTGGGCTTTTATGGAGGAACGAAAGCGCAGCGCTGGAAAAGGGGCGGAATGGGTGCGTAATAATAGTTTTATCTCGATTATTGTATTTTCATAATTGCCCTTTTTTGTAATTGTTAAATTTACTAGCAATTTCTGAGTGAAAATTGCTTTTACACAGTTTTCTTCAATGTACTTTTATGGTTGGCTATTGTTTTAATTGACAATATCCGTTGCCCATTAACTTTAATTATTTAGAATGCCAACATAACAGGCCATGATGCAAAGCTCAACAGTTTCCAGTTTGTTGATGAGGGAGATTAAAACGGATCAAAACACAAAAACAGCCAGAAGGACGAGTTTTTAGGAGAGACATCAATGTTTTGGGTCACAACAACTGTTTTATTGCAAACGCAAGCGGCACAATAGCAAAGCTGCGTTATTTTCAGGTAGCTCTTCTTATTTTGCAGCATACATGTGTCCAGACGTGCAGTGTCGTCTGTTAAAACACACTTATGTAAACCCTCCAACTCAGGAACACCCGAGGGCTATGAAACAGACGCATTTCATATTCAACACCTGGCAAACGGCAGCTCCTTGGGTCGAAAGCGAACGGTGAACTCCAGCGGCTTGATGTGCCGCGTAAAATCTGGTTTCCGAAACAAACTCTGCTTTAGTCTTCTAAGTTGATTTTCTCTGGTCTTCGTCCTAGAAATAGGTGTCGTGGCAAAGCCCAAAGACGAGAATCTCAAAGCATATTTAACATTTCCATGTGGTTTTGAGGGGGCTAACGTTCTCAGAGTTGAGCACCGTGACCCACAGTCCTCAGCAGTTTCTCCTAATAAGGGCATATTGGGGGGAAACGCAATCCTGAGAGCAGACTCCACATTCAGAACATCTCAGTCGGACAATTAAAATACTTCAAGACCGCAGCTGAACGCACATCATGTTTACAAGAGTCACTAGTGAAGCTAGATGAATGGCTACTTACCGGCAGACTCTCTTAATGTGACTGGCAAGTTACGGGATTAGAGAGTTCATGTGCTTTAAAACAACTACAACCATACTGGGACATGATTACATCAGTGTCTGGAGTGCATACTTGAGCGTTTCTTAAGATCAACTGATGCACACACTACACATAACAAACCCTAAAATAATTAAAAACTAGCCATAACTCAGGCTCACTGGAAAAACGTGCCTAAGGCGGTGCCTACGCAATTGACAATGCGTTGCTTCTTGAAAGTTGCACGACACTTTCGAAGTGAAAGTGAAGCATCTGAAACAGATGAATGTGAATCTGGCAGCGTTTTATTACACTGCTTGTTGCACATATTGCGGCAGTTCAGAAATTAAAAGCACAGAAAGTTTAATGCTGTATCGTGTTTTAAAATAATAAAACATGTGCTGTAGCAACCATGTCATTTTATCTTGCTTCTACAAGTCTCTGAGCTCTTTTATTGTGACTGGTGTTTGACGGACTCGTACCCGAGCGCTTCTCATCACAAGTGCAATGCTGCACCGGGTGCGCTACCGAGCAAGTTTACTACATCAGAAAAGACACACATATGGAGCTGCTTATGAGATGCAAACATCAAAATGTGTTAGTTTACAAATCATGCACTGTGGTAAAAGTGTTTTGAGCTCATAACATAGTATTGTGCACAAAAATCAGTCTTTATTAATCAACAATCTGCCACTGTAATCATAATCTGTGTGAAAAGGAATAAAAGTTGTCAGTGTTTTACTGCCACTGGTGTTGATTTCAGTGAACTGTATGTACAGGCACGTTTTTGCGAAAAATAGAGCTTGGGTTGAAAGGAACGCTCAGCTAAGGAAACTGAAGACCTCAGTATATAGAGGTAAAACAGATTCTGCGCTATGAGAAGATTCCCAGGAGACGAGAGAAAAATCAATTAAGCCATTCACGAAACTCCATTTAGCCTCTTAGAAGTGAGCTAGTGTGTCATGTGCTCAAATATCAGATCAATTCACAACCACCTTTACTAGAAACAAAGCATTTCAGCACTATAACATGCAAAACAAAGTCAGAGTCTGACACTTTGTTCTCAGGAATACTTAAAAACCTTAAGCACAGTTTTTTTCTGCACAAATAAGTCAAAGCGTCCCTGCTAGCATCCATACTCCGAAGTGTCCATTTTCTTGACCTAATTTAACAGCATTTCCCGAAACTCCCCGCACAGATGAAAAGACTCTATATAAAGCGGAGAGTTCCGGTGCTTGATTCTGATTGGCTGAGCCGCGTTCAAAGCTGTTGTAAATTACTCTACAAAGTAACACACACCTTTGTTTACGTTTGTGTGTTGCTCGGCAACCACTTTGTTGCAACCACAACTGTTTTTGAGGAGCTACATTGTTTGGTGGAAGAATACTGTTTTTATTAATATCATTACACTTTATTTGCTCCGTTTTATTTTGTGAAGCCTTACTACATATATGGAATAACCGTTTTATAAAAGCAATAAGCCCCTAGAAGCCGTGGTTTACAGTGAATTTATAACAGCTAAGGGGGTTTTAGACTCCGCATCGCATCGTACCTAACAACGCCCCTTAGCTGTTATAAATTCACTGTAAACCACGGCTTCTTGGGGCTTATTGCTTTAAATTACACCAGAGCAGACAGCGTTTTCAAAGCCAAACAATGGCAGGAAACTCTGTAGCACTAGTTTGGATTGTCCTCACCACTCACTGGAAATAAAAACAACGTCCTCCCTCAGCCCTCTCGCACAATGATGCGACTCCAGCTTGCTGCCTCGTGTTGCACAGCAGAATGATGAATTGCACCGCGCTAAAAGGCACTGCTGTAGTAAGCAACCTAAGCGTCAGGGGTCAAGGGCTCGGAGGGACGCAGTGCTAGCACTGAGCCTGTGTGTGGGCTTCACTGTTTACACACAAACGCTGTAATCTCTTGCCAGACCGGGCAGCTAATTTGGTCACCCATGACACATTCCTGTGAAACAAACAGGCTGAGTCGGGCTCTCATTAACCACAGGACCATGTTCTGCTGGTTCCCATCCGATGGACTCCCTCGGTCGTTCTCATCTCTGAGCTGCTGGTGGAGCAACAAACTGTTGCTGGTTTATTTTAGTTCAGGGATGGTGATGTTGTGTTTTTATTGGAGAGGATTCCACTGAGGTTTGGTTAGGCCAGCTTTGAAGAACATGAATGCAATCTCTCAGCTGAGCGATTAGATTCACAGACCACTGATGTGCAATTGCGTGATCAAAAGATATAAAGAATGGAAGACTTACCAATTCATCCAGAGCGAAGCGCAAGCAGCCGTGTTCATAAAGGACGAAGAATCGTCGCTGCCATTTCTGCGTTAAAAGGAAGTATTATTAATGTTATTCATATTTGCTAAATTAAACAAACTGTCAATTGGTTAATATAGATTTTTGAAGTCTGCATTAAATGAAAGTTTACCCCATCTCATTTCCATTCCTTTTTAAAAGGAAGTGTTTAAGATTAATTTTTTTCAAAAAAAAAACTTAAAACTAAATTTGGATTCACTTGATTAAAAACCTTTTCAAAAGTATTAAACAGAATAAAAAGTTTCTCACAGGAGTAAAATATCTCATTTCTAAGTGCATGTTATTGATCTTATTGGAAACGATTCACCCGTGCATGCATTTCAAATGCGTGCAAATGTTCTAACTTGAACTTCTTGTGAAATACTGGACTTCTCCAATCACCTTCATCCAAGTCCTGCTCTACATTTATTCCGATAAGCCGTTTAACTCAGATGTACGTCACAATACGGAAGAAAATATCTGTAGCTATTCCAGTTTCATCACTTTAATCAAGTTAATTACATGATACATGATAAGTAATTACAGATATTACATTATTGCGGCATATAAATACAGCACTGAATAGACAAAAAGTGTCTTTACAAATCAGTATATTGTTTTAATTTAATTAGCATAAGCCCATCACCAACTTACCATTTCTTAAGTACTGGTATATACACACATGCAGACTGAATTATTTGGCCACAGAAGTAGTGTAATTATACTACTTGTAATTATAATAGTAATTCACATCAAATTGAAGCGTTAATGGCACAATATGTAATTTTCGCCGCTGGAGGGCTTGTATTCAAAATAAACAAAGAGACAAAGGCGTAGTTTGATGACGCCGTGGCTGAGTGTGGAATCATGGGAGTTGTGGTCTTCATCCCCACAGCCGATGCAATCCGACGGGACTCGGGCAGAAATCATGTTCATGATGAGCTAATGATTTATTAACGTAGTAGAATGAAGCAGGGTGAGGCTGAAAGCCGTCGAAGTGAAATGAGGCACTGAACGAGCGTGACACACGGCTGGAAAGCAGCGGAGCTTTTATTATGCCACAGTCG